AGATTGAATTATCGAATAAATATTATACAAATGTATGTAGAGACCTATGAGAGACAGAACTGGGTTAATCTTTCAATATTCCTGAATACGAATTTCGATATATTCACAAATTAGTAATGTTATAAATAAATGTTAACCGTAGTTGGAATTTCTCATGACTTCACGCAAACTAATAGTGGTTACTCGAATAGCAAGTTTCGCGAAACGGATTCTCGTTGAGTTTGCGCCAACTTTCGATTGGCAGCATCGTGGAGTAAAAATAGAGAATGCAATGTAATCAACTTTGAATTGCGGAATAAACAATCTCGATAAAATTTTAATTAGAATTGAGTCGATGGAATAATATAAAAGTATTATTGCTACGCGAATGTCGATTGCGATAATACGTAGATATAATTATTGGCTAATGCAGCCACACAGGTTCCGTTCCAATAATCAACAATATCATGCGAATATTGCACCTGCACTAACATTCCTCTCCGTTCGAGATTAGTATAATACAAATTTATTAATTACAAAAATTATTTAAATTATCTAGCTATTATTAAGTGTGAAAATTAAAAAAAGTACAGTTAAATTAATAATAAGAAGAATGGCGTTAGAGAAAATTATTAAATGAGAGCATTAAGATATTTTTTAATTGTTGGAATATTCTTTGTTTTTGCATACATGATAATAAAATTAAATGCTTTCGGAAAATTTTTGTTTTTATATAAAATACATGCATATCAATATTGAGAGAGAATAAAATGATGTTATTTCAAATAACATTTTTATATAAATTATTTATATTTTAATATAAATTATTATATTACACATGCACTCAATTGATTTATCTTGTTTCAAGTATATAAAGTGTATAACGAATTATATTATTATTATTATATCTTCCATTTCATTTGAGATTTTTCTTTGTTTTTTTCAGATAATTGAGAATAATCCTCAATTGTTGGCAATGTATTTAGCAATTTCATAAAAATTTCTCTCGCCGTTGTAAAATAATCGAAAAACAGATTGCCAGCAGCTGTTGGACAAATATTTTGCCTCGATAGTCAAGATGAAGTAAAGTCTCCATCCCACTTGGGCTCATCAATCACATCAATTACATACGACATGGTCGATTCGCGATAACACGCGCGTGCACAAGACAGAATAAAAGAGTAAGATAAACATGTACATACATACATATATTATATATACATATATATTTATTAGGTATGTAAATATATCTCACGTGTGTGTGTGTGTGTGTGTGTGTGTGTGTCGCTCATTTGCTATAATAACTGTAAATAAAGTTTTCCAGGAGATAAATTTGAATGTTTTGAAACATTAAAATTTTGAAATAATAATTTTAAAATACAATTTTAGCGAAATAATTGATTTTAGAGAAATAAATGTATATTTTTCCTTTTTTTTCTTTATATCTTCATTCTTTTTCTGCAATAAAAAAAATTACAATTTTTGAGTTATATATTCGCGTAGGAAATAAGCGATATATATGTATATACTATATATACTGTATGTATATGTGTAGGTACGTTACAAAAATGTTAAATAATTAGTAGTAATCGTTTTGGGAATGAAACAGAAAGGCACTATAATGGCGCCGGCTTAAGATAAATTTCTTTCGTGTTATTCGACATAATTATCGGCGAGAAAATGTTCAGTTTCCTTTCTGGAGCAATTACGAAGAACAAAGGGGTCAAAAGTAGCAGCCACAATTACAGGTTTCTATCTCTAGTTCGTAGTCTCTCTCTCTCTCTCTCTCTCTCTCTCTCTCTCTCTCTCTCTCTCTCTGTAAATTATATTCTATCCTGTTGTTTTTTAAGAAAGTGGCCATTACGAACAATTTCTGAACTCGCACGCAAACTCGAAGCAACGACGACGCGACAAAGGGAGATACTGTGTTACCAGCGCGTCCATAATATTATTCCCATCAAAGAACAGTTCACGCACCCTTCTTTAAGTTCAGCATTTTTTCTTTCGTACGCTACAATGAGAGAGAAACAATATTTCTCTTCGCTGTAAATCGACTCCTCGCGTATTGATCGTTTTGAGGGAGCGATAAGATTTCGTTCCGTGATTTCCAATAAAGAGGAAAATAGAAACAAGTTAAATTCGATAAACAATGTCGCCAGGGATATATATTTTGCGTGTTTATAATTAATAAACAAAAAAAGTGATAGAAAGGATCAAAGAGAACATTTCCGAGGGGTGGATACTACAAATTACAATCGAGTTTTGCCTGTCCCTTCCGAAATAATCGGCCCTGCAAACAGTGAAAATGACGAGTGAAGGGGTGCGCTTAATTGACGATATCTCAATGGAACAACAGGGCGTAGAGCGTGACGACCCCAAAAGCCACCCTAACGTTAGACGAGGGGTTAGTCGAACGGTCGTATCCTTTCAGTTTTCGAAGTGGCTTTAAGACCATGCCAATATTTCACAAGTTTCGTTTGCCTGACCTTTCCGTTCACTTATTCGCCCCAGGGGCGTTCAACGTATTTCCGCATATTTGAATAATGCCTCTTTCGTGATTTGCGTAATCGTTTGATTTGATCGCATGAAAATAGTTACACTGATGCGCGATATCGCGATTACGCGAGTATTTCAATTGCATTATGATGCAGTCGATTGAATTAATGATATGTGTAGCGATATAACAATGTGCTGCATACATACGACGCGGATATGCGAGAATATTTGAATTTATATTAAAACAAGATAAATAACTTGGATATACACCCGCTTGTTCCCATTTTTAATGAGAAAGAACTCGAAATATTCAATTAACAAAATGGCGAACGAGGCATTCTATGAAATTTCCACAGAATCATGTATGCACATCGCGAAATGCTACTGCGACAAAATAATACGAGACATAGAAAAATGGTAAGGTCAAGAACATGACAGGTCTGTTATCGACGATGGTCGGCAAAGTAGAAATTATCGCAACGTAGCCATGAAGCTTACGCGTCAACATCAAAGCAATAAAGCGTCGATGAAGCGACTTTAACGAGCCCCATTCAAATGAAAAACTTATCTCCAGACCCTTTCGTAGAAACATATCTTTCAGAGAGAATAAAATGATTATAAATCACAAAAAGTACGGAAAGCTTAAGAAAAAGAAGGTTGTGCAATATTTGTCAAAAATATGAAACTTTTAGAGAAAATCTCTTCAAATAAAAATCAAGCAAGTGATCAAGCAAGTGAGTGCTTTGCTGCTTTCCACTTTGTGGTACAAGTCGATACAAATGTCGTCCTACCTTTTTTACTCACTGAATGTCGAGAAAGATAGAATGATGTTTGTGTCACTAAATGGAAATCATCCAATACCTCGTTGAAACGACGTTCGTGCGTCCGCATTTCATTTGACCAGAATTTTTTGTCAAAATTCCGCATAAGTTTGCTTGCTCGTTCGTTTAGATAATTTTTTAGAATAAACATACCTCTCCGTGCGTGTCCCTCCTTCCATCCGGCGTGTTTTCAGGTAAGAAATAAAGTCGCAAAGACGCCAAAGGCTGATTCGGTCCACGACTGTCCATCCACAGTAGCTGAAGTTCGCCGATGCTGACGAGATCGGCATCGCTCCACAATTTCGTCAGGAAGAAACTACCGAGACGAAGGACACGACCGTTACTTATCCTTACTGCCTTGTAAAATGTGTAAGGGCCGTGGCTGAAGCAAGCACCGCCTAGCAACTAAAAACGTAGAAAAGAAATTCGTCAACATTAATATTTGTGTCATTATCTCATGCTGTGAATATTACATGGGACAAAAAAAAAAATAAATTAATTAAGAGATTTTACACAAAAACACAAGACGTCTACGTTTTTCTAACGTAAAATTAATGCCATTTCTTTGTTTTTTTTTAATGTATAATATTTAAGAAATCCAATCTTTTTCTTCTAATGCGGTTCATAATTCAATTTTACATCCTCTTATTATCCAATTATTATCCTCTTATTATCCAAAATTATTATCCTCTTATTATCCAAAATGTATATTATCCGAAATTATCAAAAGTCTTGACAAATCCTGTTTTATATTATTCTTATGTGTTAATTTTACTTTTAATTCTTTTTATTATTTTACATAAGCTGTCATTTCACCTGGTCTATATATATGTGTTGTACATATATCGCAGTCTTTGCAACTAATTTTATATATTATATATTTTGTTTACATTTAGATTCTACATTAGCAATATCTTTCTGTATTCTTTAATGAACCTATCTACAATTGATTTAAACATCTAAAGCTAAAAAGAGATTTATCCATACAATTTGCAACCGTTTCAGATTCGTATGTATGTAGGACATTACAAAATATCTCTTATCGGTCAGAATCGTCATGGTTTAACATGTTGTCATTATTTTTACAACGATTCAATGCTAATTCAATTCATTTTTCGTTAAAAAGATTTTTTTATGTAAAATGTATTTCTCTAAAAATCAGTTGTAAGGAGTAACCATTCTCCATGAGTAATTTAATTTACAAAGTTCAAGATTCTTTCTTAGAAAGGAAGAATGAGATAGTAATATCGATACAAGATTATAAATAGTTTATAGTTCCAATTTTGTGGTGATTAGAGGTAAACGATAAATATAATAGCATCTTGAGAAAGTCTTTTTGGAAGCAATTAACAATGATTTCTCATCTTCAAATATAAATATGGTAATTCTCATGTTCACTTCACATTCATAAATATAATTTTCATAAAGATAATTTTTCTCCAAACATACAGATATAAAACATAAAAATAAAGCTTTAGGTTTCGATTAATATTTTGAAGACGCAATTTAATTCTCGAATGTTATACACGTAAACTTGACATGTGTAAGTAAGTTATGTCATTGAGCATTAAACTATATCATTAGGAGGTCCAATTTGCCATGCTAAAAAACAGGGACAAAAAGAGACAAGCTTTTAAAAATTTCCTTCATATATCAGTTTGGACTCCCGGTGGTCAATATTATAACAAAAAAAGAAAGAAAGTGATAAATGATTTCAAGCAGATTTGAGTGCTATTATTTTGTTAATATATATTATCTTTAAGTATATATAAAGAAACGCACACACACAATCAGATTCCACCTCGTATCATTCCAAGATTGAACTTGATATTGTGCTCTTTCTTTTCTTTCAACCTATAATAATTAGGCTATGTTTACAAATATCTAGATTATAAATATATTTTGTCTATTGTATACATTTAAAAATGTGAAAGGTACGGAAAATTTGTGTCATGGTTGATTAAGCGTGACTTTTCCGTGTATGTAAAATTTACGTAAAAGGACCAATACTATCACTTAATATCAATAATAATATTCTAGATTTAAAAAGAAAAATAAAAAGTGAAAAATTTCTGTTTGCGGATTCTTGCGGAAATTTTATATTTACTATCTCTATATATATTTATCCTATAATTTTTTACATTTACCATTTTTTTCTTATAAACAAAAAAAAATTTGTTTTATTCTTGTGTTAGAAAGGTGGAATGGTTTCATTCTTGTAGAATAGCAAATATTAAGCTCTTATATTTCCTGTTTCTTTATTTGATTTTTACCGAAACAGCACATTTGCTTACGATGTTACAATGTACAAACAACAAAAAGAACGATTTGGCACCATAACTCGCATTAAAAAAAAATGGATTTATTTGATTCTTGTGGTAAGATTCTTTCAATTTTTACACACACATATATATATA